CCACTAAGCAGTTAAATAAATACCAGATCACTTATGTGAAGGATTAGATAATTTAAAAAAAAAGATACCCGGATAATAAATGGATATTAGAGACAAAAAATTAATCTAACGAACACATACAATAATAAAATAAAATGCATAATTAATTTGAAAATATATGTATATTAATTCTTCATATTATTATGAATTGTTTAGAATGCGATTCATTAATATTCATTTTATATTCCCTTCATAAGTATGACAAAAAGTTAAAAAACGTAAAAATATTCATTATTATAAATTTTATCTGTTGTATTTGATTTNTTATAAATTTTATCTGTTATATTTGATTTGTAATTAAAAATCTTTATTAATCTAAAGATTCATTAATATATGACCCACTTCATAAGTATGATATAAAAAAAATTGAATTATAATCATTAAAATACTATATCGATTTTAGACATTTATTTTGCTTACATTAAGCTATAATATAAAACTTGAACGATACTCTATTATTAATTGTTAAAAAGGTTTACCTTCAATTTCACGCCGCGTTTGATTTCTTCTATACAATTTTTTGGTAGAGCTGCTGGTCTATAAACCTTACCTTTGCTTTTTACATTGTTTTCTGATTTTAGTGGCATTAGTAGAGTATGAGGAGGTGGTGAAGGAATGATATCTGGAAAATATTCATATTTAGATAACATAAACAGTGACTTTTTATGTATATATACAAGTACTATCAATAGGGTTCATTCTTCGAAGATTTTTGTCATCTATAATTGATTTTTCTAATACTTTAACCATTGGACTTACCGGCTATATAAAATTAAAAAATCAAACACATATACTAACTGTTATAATTAATATACTCATTTTAACATTTAATATATTGTGGTAATTGTTTTGCTTACATAAAGCTATAATATATAATTTGCACTATACTCAATTATTAATTATTAAAAATTTTACCTTCAATTTCACGCCGCGTTTGATTTCCTCTATAAGATTTTTTGGTAGAGCTGTTGGTCTATAAACCTTACCTTTGCTTTTTACATTGTTTTCTGATTTTAGTGGCATTAGTAGAGTATGAGGAGGTGGTGAAGGAATGATATCTGGAAAATATTCATATTTAGATAACATAAACAGTGACTTTTTATGTATATATACAAGTACTATCAAAAGGGTTCATTCTTCGAAGATTTTTGTCATCTATAATTGATTTTTCTAATACTTTAACCATTGGACTTACCGGCTATATAAAATTAAAAAATCAAACACATATACTAACTGTTATAATTAATATACTCATTTTAACATTTAATATATTGTGGAAATTGTTTTGCTTACATAAAGCTATAATATATAATTTGCACTATACTCAATTATTAATTATTAAAAATTTTACCTTCAATTTCACGCCGCGTTTGATTTCCTCTATAAGATTTTTTGGTAGACCTGCTGGTCTATCAACCTTACCTTTGTTTTTAATATTATTTTCTGTTTTTTGTAGAGTTGGTAGAGTTTGGGGAAGTGGTGGAGCAGAAGGAATAAAATCTAAAAAATTTACATATTTATATTGTATTTAAATTTATATCATTTTTTTGCTGTTTTTTTCTATTAAATTTAAAAATATAGAGTTACCATTATTTTGCTGTATATCCTTTAACTCGGTTAATGTTTTGTTTATATTTATTTCGTCCGTTTTGCGTTTTCCTTGACCATCAATATTTTTTATCAAGTAATCGGAAGATTCCATTAAATATTTCTGAACAATTTCCTGAACGATTTCGGACATTNCCAATATTTTTTATCAAGTAATCGGAAGATTCCATTAAATATTTCTGAACAATTTCCTGAATGATTTCGGACATTAAATCTTCAATGTGATCTATTAAAGTAAATTTTGGTAAAATTATGGATACTTTAAGAAAAAAATAAGTTGTGTAGTCGGAGTAC